CCCGCTGGGACCCCTCTCCGAGCCGCCGGCTGCAGGCGAGCAGGCGGCGCGCTCCCCGCGCGCGGATGGGGGGGAGGGGGGCTCGTTTTCTGGGGCCTCCGCTGGTCGTCTGCGCCGCGCATCTTAGCCGAGAAGAAGGAAGGCTGCAGACTTCCACGTGCTTTCTCCAGACACGATTCCTGGTCCAGGGGTTCCTTGTCCAGAGCCCTCACCGTAATTAATGCATGCGGGGCCCGAGTGCGTGCGGGTCCAGGGGGGGGGTTCCAAACATATGGCACTGTGCATGGGCGCATGCCGTGCTGCGAAGAACAAGTTGCAGCATACTCACAATTCCTCTGAGGTCCACGTGGATTTTCTTGGATCGGCGCCGGGCGGCGCCCCTGCCGCCCGCCCCTTGCGCGCTCCGCGCGCCAGGGGGAAGGGGTCCAGCGCTGATCCAGGAATCCGCGCAGACCTCCGAAGATCTGTGCCTATGGATTTGTTGCTTCTCTGCGGTAGAGGAGCAGCAGATCCATAAACATTATCCCTCGGAGGTCCGCGAAATTGTGGAGGCTGAGGTAACATCATGCAGATTCTGCCCAGCACGCTGGAGGCCGAGGCTACCTCGGCCTCCAGCGTGCTGGGCAGAACCGGGGGTCGGAAGTTCTTCGCAGCCTCCGGCACTGCATTCAGGGTCCCGAGGCCTTCAGGAGCCATCGCGGGGCGAAAGGCAGGTTCCCTAGCAGTTGCCGGGAGGGCTCCAGTAAGGACGACCTCTGGAGAGGGCCCCCGTCCGCCCCCCCACAGCATTGGCCTCTGCCTCCTCGCGGTCCGGTAGAGCCGCGCATCAAAGGTCACTCTTGCCGAGGGTCTCGCTCTTGCATGTTGCCGATCCTCCTGTAAGATGCTCGTTCAGGGGACCTTCCTAGGGCCCACCTAGGGGATCTGTTCGTCTCTGGTTCATTTCTAGTTCGACTCCAGCTCGACTCGAGCTCGACTCAGGTTTGACTCAGGTTCGATTCAGGTTCGACTCAAGTCGACGGACGTTTGACGCAGCGTCGGCGCACGAGTGGAGCGAGTGGCTCCAAGAAGGTCCCCAGAGCGAGCATCTGACCCCTGTCCGTACTCTTCCGTGGTTTGTACCCCCGTCCTGCCACCCAACCGCCCGATGGCAACCCTGAGGGGGGAGGTCCCTCCTGCCCGTACGGTTAAGTCGGGTATGTCCCTCCTCAGGAGGAATATTCAAAAATTGTCAAAACATAGTCTGGGGACTTTGTGAGTTCTATGTTTTAACTAGTCGTCCAACATTCGCCTGTAGGAGGACGTGCCCGACCTAACCGTAAGGTGCAATAAAGCATCGACGGTTTGTCGTCGACGCTGCAAAACGGCGCGAGAGGAACGGGACGCGTCGATCATCGCGAGCGAGCTGTCGGGACGTCGTTCTCCCCTCGGTGAGGTGCATGCTGACTCCTGCAATGGAGTACCGATGTGTGGCCACCGCCCCCGCCCGCGCACCTCGCGCCCGACCAGCTTGTCTGCGGGGGTGGTTTGCAAACATCGTGTCCCCGGGGGATGCAAGTTTTGTTCACAGCCCCCGCTCCGCCTTCTTCTGCCGGAGCAGTGTGTATTAGGGGATAACAAAACGCCCCTACCCTGGTTTACGAGGCGCTGTGCGCTGAAACTCCTGTGGGCTGACAGGGTAAACCCTGCGCGATGTGCCGCGTCCTGGCGGCTCTAGGCTTTGGGGGTTCCCAGGAGGTTTACAGACCACGCACTTGTAACCCAGGGTAGAGTCGTTTTTTCATCCCTCAAGTGTAGGGGTTGTGTGCAGAAGTCGTTCCCGCCTGGGCGCGTTCGCGCACTCTTTGCTCGCCAATCTTGGGCCAGGCGCGCGAGCGGCCGGGGTGCCGCTCTCGCCTAGAAGCGCCGCGCCGATTCCGTCTGAAAGTGGCGCTGCCACCTTGGGTGCCGCGCGCCTCTTCTCGGACACAGGAGAACATACTACAGTGGGGGTTGATTAGCAGGTCGACCCTGCCAAAACCAAGGGTACCCTCGTGTCCTGTGTTTCGCGACCCATGCCTTCTACATTCCTATGGCAATGTGGCCCTCGGAAGGGTTGTTTGTCCTCTCGCCCGTCCTCTCCAATCAAGCCCGACTTTAGTATCATGTGTCCTCCTCTGAGGCGTGCGTCCGACCCGAACATGTCGTACACACACACACATCTTGTAGCACATCGTTCCCCGAGAGGCATGGCCAGAAGACGCCCTTTCACGGAGCTCATACCGCAAGACTTCTCGGCTCGCGCGCCGCCCCCCCCCCCACCGGGGGCGACGCACACATAGCTTCACTGTGTCGGTTTGACGCCGATCTTTCCCCCGCCGCAGCCGGCGGCGGCAGGGCCCCGCGCGGGCGTCGCCCGAGAGCGGCGGCCCCCGCCCGCGCGCGGCGCAGGCGCTTCACTCCAGCTCTGGCCACGAGGCCGCGGCGCCTGCGCGAAGAGGCGGAGCTCGGCTCTGCCCCCGGGCGCGCCCGCGCTGCCACGCGCAGCACGCGCCGTGCTCTCGGCGGCCGTGCGTGCTCACGGGCCGCGCGTCTTGGCTCCGCGTGTTGGCCCACGTTTTAGGTTGCGCGGCTCTAGCTTGCTCCTGTTTTAATTAGTAGGCCCGCGCCCCGGACTTACGACTCGCCGCTTGCGCTCGCGCCTGCGGCCGCGACCAAAAAAGTGTTGGCCCACGTCCGGCGGATGCATCGCGCCAGACGTGCGTGCCGAGCTCCGCGTCGACGCGCTGCGGGCCGCGCGAGGCGCTTCCTGGCGAGGTGCCGCTCCTGCGCGAGCGTCGCGCGGGCGGATCTTTCGCTCGGGCTGCCCTCGCGCCTCCTCCCCCGCGCCCGCCGGGCCGCTGGGCGCGGGGCCGGGCGCGGCAGGGCGTGGTGGCGTCTCGGCGTCAGCGCCGCGCAGAGTTCAAGCGAGAGCTGCCTCTCCGGCTTTGGGGCTCGGCGCCGGCGTTGCCCTCGCCGAGTCGTCGGCAGGCCCCTTTGTCGTAGACTGGAACATGTACATTACCAGTGGCGGGTTGCTTTGCAATCCCACGACGTTTGAAGGGTCGGGGACGACGTCGGGGTGGTGTGGTGTATACTGTTCCCTCGTTCTCCAAGGGAAACAACGAAACATGTATACACCAGGATCCCGTATACACCAGAATCCACGTTCCTGTGCGAATGTCAGCGCCGGGTCGGGAAAAGCGTCGGTGTATAGAGTTCGATTCCCTACTTTGGCATCGCTCGGACGTGTGCATCGTCTTCTCGGCGAGGACCGTCGAGGAGCATCCTGGATTTGGCTCGGCGCCTGCTGAGCCGTCGCCGAGTCGTCGACAGACCCCGTGGCATCGCTCGGACGTGTGCGTTTTTTTCTTTCGCGGCGAGGATCATCGAGGAGCATTCTGGATCATATCAGAGCGTGAATTACCTACCCCGCTTTCGCTTCCAGGCAAAACCAAGCCATACCACCCGCCCCCCGTCAAGCGGCCTGCCCAGTGCAGGCTGCAATTTGGCATCGTCTGGTATCTCTTGGAAGCGAGGGGGGTCAAAAGCGAGGTAGGCTTGTTTTCTCCCTAGTTGTTGCCGCACCGATGCCACTAGCAAGAGGGCCTCCTCTGCCTCCCGCTCCTCCTACTCATCACCCTCCTCCACTGCCCTGGAATCGACCTCGTCCTCCTCGTCGTCGTCGTCTTTGTGGTCGTCGTTCGTCCTCCACTTCCTCGTCGCCGTCGTGTTCCTCCTCCTCCTCCTCCTCCTCCTCCTCCTCCTCCTCCTCCTCCTCCTCCGCGAGGAACGTGCCTGGAGGCAATGGGCGGGGCTTGTTTTCCCCCTTAAGAGAGCACGACCTCGAGACGTGTCGCGCACGGGGACCGGGGCGCCGGAGCCACGGCGAGCAGGCCGCGTGGCCGCGCGCGCGCGCGAGCGCCTCCCGTTCGCGCTGGGCGGGGGGGGAGGCGCGCGGCGTCTCGCCTGCCCGCCGCCAGCTGCGCGGGCTCGGGAGGGAGGAGGAGGAGGAGGAGGAGGAGGAGAAGGGGGAGGAGGAGGAGGAAGAGGAGGAGGAGGAGGAGGAGAACGGGGAGGAGGAGGAGCAGGAGGAGGAGGAGGAGGAGGAGGAGGAGGAGGAAAAGGAGGAGGGGGAGGGGGCGCCCGGCATCGCTTGGGCGTGGGCATGCTTTTCTCGGCGAGAACCGCCTGGCCGCGCGCGCGCGAGCGCCTCCCGTTCGCTCTGGGCGGGGGGAGGCGCGCGGCGTCGCCTCCTCGCTGCCAGTTGCGCAGGGCGGGAGGGATCGGGGTGGACAGAACCCCCAACAGTGACACGTCGATTAGTGAATCGTCCGTTTTCGGTTCTCGAGAGGGCGCCGTGGCCGTTACTTTCCAGGCTTGCGCCTGCCAGGTTTGGGCCTCAGGTCGTTTTCACTAAACCACGTTTTACTAAAGGGGGGTCTGTCCATCCCCGAAGGGAGGGGGCGCCTGGCATCGCTTGGACGTGGGCACGCTTTCCTCGGCGAGAACCCGCGAGGACCGTCCTCGACCAAGGAGCAACAAAAAAAAACGCGCACGAGACCGAAAGATGCACGAGAAATGCACGGGACCGAGCGACGGCGAGGGGCGGGAGGCGGCCTCCTCCTCCTCAACATGTCCCCTCTCCTCCGAGGGGGCCCCGCTCCCCGCTCTCCTCCTCCTCTTTGCCACCCTCCCTCGCCGCGCTCGGCCGAGTCCGCGACGGGGCCCCGGCGGCCTGTGTCAGAGCACGGAGCTGAGTCCCGCGGGGCGCGCTTTCCGCCCTCGAGCACTGACGCGGTCCAACTCCGACGAATTCCCTCCTCCCCCCTCTTACTCATACCTCTCGCCCCTCCTCGCCCACCTTCCTCCCCATCTTCCGCCCTCCCTGCCTCTCCACTTCCCCCCCTCCTCCTCATCCCTCCCTCCCTCCCTCCTCGTCCTCGTGGCGACGAGCGCCGTCCGCCCCGCGCGGGATGCCAGGCGATCTGCGAGCTGGCGCTCAACTGCACGGGCGCCCTCCTCTTCTGGGGCCCGGTGTCGCTGCTGTCCGGAATGAGGACTCTGCGCGCGTCATTCGGCCAGTCCTGGAAAAAGCAAGATGGCGGTTTCTGGCAGTTTTGGGCATTTGGGTGCCCTTACCGGACCCCAGGACCCTCAACAAAAACAATTCCAGAGGAACAGCCGGTCCCGGGGAAGGGGTCGTGGCTTCTAGGCACCCCGCACATGGACAAACATCAGAGCATCGCATGTCTTGGCGAGGGTCGGTATAGATCGCCCCAGAGCGTTTCAGAGCGCTCTCAGAGTCTTCCAGAACGCTCTGGGACGGCCGCTGGGCCAGATTCATTCTCCAGAACCGCCGGATCTCAGAGACCCCCCTCGATCCGATGATGTCCCGTTGATGACTTCGTCTCAGCCGCGCGCCAAGGGCCACGGCCTCCCAGCGGGCTGGCTGGTCTGCCGAGCCCCACCCGTCTCCCCCCCAGGAGGCCGGCCTCCGGGAGGAGCTCCTGGGCACCAGGACTTCCTGAAAATGCGCCCCCGACTGGAAACGCGGCCCCAGAGCCAGCGGCACCGCGATCGGTATTCACTGGCGGGTCATTGCATGCACCTGCGCGTCCACCTATATAACGCTGCCATGCTCTTTGCTCAGGAGCGCGAGGAGGACGCACGCCTACGTGAACCCCCGCTGGCTTCGAACGTACGTCTTGCGCGAACGTGCGTATCACGCTGGCGGTCTCTGGCGGATTGGGGGGCCGAGTTCGTGTAAGTGGTGGCCCAGGTGGGGTCGACCTGGCCGGTTTCCCCCCCCGAGGTCCCTGGGAACAGATCTTGCGTTGAACCTCGCTGAGGGGCAGCGAACGCGATCTGTGTTTCTGGGGCGACGGGGGAGAGGGCAATGCTTTTGTAGGGCAAGAGCAAGCATGAGCAGCCCAATCGCCGGCAAGAGCAAACCTGAAATCAGAGCTTCTCCCGAGGGGCGGCTGGAAGGATTGCCGTTGACCGATCAAGCGCGCCCGCCGAGCGTGCGGGGATCTGGCCCTCGAAACAACGCTGCCCCCCCCGCGACTTCAAGTCTTGCGCTCCTGGGGCCCCGCGCCCCGCCCGCCGGAGGCAGAGAGATCCGGGAGGGGCCTCGCGCGCGAGCTTTTTGTTTCTGCTCGGCCTCCCAAAACCTCGCCCCTGCTGCCACCCCTCGCCTCCCTCGCCCTGCTCCCCCCTTTCCCTCGATATCGCCCCTCCCCACCCTCCTCACCACCTTGCCCCCCCCCCCCCCCTCCTCTCCTCGTCCCCCCCCCCCTATCGTCAGGAGGAAAAGAAACACACAGACACAATCAATCCTCGATTCCGCAGAACATATGGGAAAATATGGGAAGTGGGGGGGGAAGACAGAAACCCAGAAAATATTCGAAAATATGGTGAATCTGTTTTATTTGTGTGTATTTACCTGTGTGTCCTGGGGCCCCTTCATCTTCCCTCGCCCCGCCCTCACCCTCCCCTCCCCTCCCCTCCCTGCACGGCTCTCCCCCCCTCCCCCGCCGAGGGCTCTCCCTCGCTTGGTCGGCCGGAGGCTCCCTCGCCCTGGGGGCTCGCGATGGGGGGGGCGAGGCGTGCCGTGCAGCGTCTCCGGCCGGCCGAAGCGGACGCGTCGCGTGGCTCTCCGCATCACCGTTACTTTTCTGTGGAAACAGGCCTTGCAACCACAATTCTTACTCCAGATTTCGTAATAAAGGGAGGGGGGTCTCATTTCGGGGGGGGGGTCTCTTCCAGGCTATCTTGGAGGGCCCGGGGGGGTCTGGGGGCGATGTTTTGGAGGGTTCTCCCACGGAGGGGGGGGTCTGAAATGGCTTGTCTTGGAGGGTCCAGACCCCCTCCCTTTTATTACGAAATCTGGAGTACAATTCTTCTGATCGCAGGCCTAGAGGTTGACACCAACACCAGGATCGGCGGTGTGCCTCCACCGAGGGAAGACGATCCCGATCTCGGTGATGGTGGTAATATTCTGGCTCCCAGGGTGACCGAAATGCTACCACCAACACCGAAATCTAGGGTCATCTTCCCCATGTGGAGGCAGCCCCCTGTGCTGGTGTTGGTGCCAATTTCCAGGGCTCCAATCTTAGCTCCGCTTGGATTTCTCAGATCTGCGTTGGATCTCCCGGCGGCGCCGCAGGCGCCGCCCCTGGCGCCCTCCGCGCGCCAGGGAGGGGTTCTAGCGAAGATCCCCAAAAGACTGCGCGGGCCTTCCCGGTTGCCATCCTGGGAGGTTGACTCCCCCATCGGCGCCATTAGAACTACCCGTAGTCGAGAACCGCCCCAATCTGGCCGATTCCTGCCCAGACTTGGCCCAATCTCGCTCAGTCGACCGAAAGGGACATTCAGGCCGTTCCTTTCCTTTTCTGCCAAATCCAGGCTGCACATCCTGGGAGGCTGAATCCACCATCGGCGCCATGAGAACTAGCCGCGGTCGAGAACCGCCCCAATGTGGCCGGTTCTTGCCCAGACCTGACCCAATCTCGCCCACTAGACCCGACGGGACTATTGGCGGATCCCGATCCAGCGCGCAGCCCGGGCACCTTGCCGATTGGGCGACTGCCGGCGGCATTGGACGCGCAGTGGTCTGCTGCGTCCTGCAGGGGCCTGACCGAGGGGCCCACGATCTCAGAGGAGGAAAATTCGAGGCGGGCATATATCCAGAACCACCGCCTAACGGGGGATCGATCTTCGGGGACCTCGGCAGGCGGTGGATATGGATATGGGTGCACGTGCATATCGGTGCCCCTGCCTTTCATGCCCTGAAGAAAGGAGGCGAAGGCGCCCGTTTTCTCTTCTTCATGTTCACATCATGTTTCCCTCTTTGTTTATTTACGTACTCCTCTCTCTCTCTCTCTCTCCGTCTCGTTCTCTCCACCTTTTTTTGTTCTCTCTCTCTCTCTCTCTCTCCTTCCCTGCTGGAGGTTCAGATGGATTATTTTCCGCTTGTGTGCGGGGGGTATCAATCGATTCCATTTGCGGGTGGAGGGATACACATTGATTCCTTATGTGGCGGAAGGGGGGGTCTGGCCTTGGGGAAAGATCCCAGGAAAAAAAATCCTGAATCCATTGGTCCCGTTTTATTTCCGCGGGCACCGAAAAGTTAGGACCAGTGGGTCCATCGGGGCAGTTTTTGTTCCCAACCATCATGTGGTGTGGGGTCATCGTTTTGAAGAGACAGCGTCCAGCGTTCCTTCCTCCTCCTCGTCCTCCCATTCCTGCCTCTGCCCTCCGCATGTCCACCATTTCGACACCCTCTTCACGGGGTTCGTAGCCCCATGGGGAACTCCACCGAGGTTCAGTGGCAGGGTCCGCATGCGCCCGACGCCCATTTCGGCACACCCTTCACACGGTTCGTGGCCCCATAGGGAGATCCACCGAGTGCCCCAGTGGCACGGCCCGCATGCGCCCGACGCCCATTTTGGCACACCCCCTCACAGGGTTCGTGGCCCCAGAGGGAGCTCCACCGAGGGCCCCAGCGGCAGGGTCCGCATGCGCTCAACACACCCCTCACACGGCTCGTGGCCCCATAGGGAGCTCCATTGAAGGCCCCAGCGGCAGGGTCCGCATGCGCCCGGCGCCCATTTCGGCACACCCCATCACACGGTCCGTCGCCAGATAGGGAGCTCCATTCCACCGAAAGCAGTACTCACGACATCGTATGGTCGGGTCTTTTGCTAGGATATTTCCCCACCCGCCAGGTCCGACAGGTTGGGGTTGTTAGATTTCAAGAACAGACCCCCCGGTCAACCGCAGCCTGCATACCGCGGCCGCCAGACCCCAAGTTGTCCCGAGAATCCCCCAGTACCCCCGAGAGTCCCTGGGAATCCCGCCCCCTCGCCCTCGACAAACACGACTGCATACCGCGGCCGCCCGACCCCAAGTTTTCCCGAGAGTCCCCGAGTGTCTCTGGGAGTCCTGCCTCGCGCCCTCGACAAACGCGAAACAGCACAACAGTACACAACAGAACATGAAATAACATAACATAGCAATATCATGACACCATAGAGCATGCTATAACATCACAAAGCATACCCGGGCAGAACATTGCATAACAGAAAACGACAGAACACACTCTGACATAACAACATTGATCATAACGTAATGCACCTTGACGGGACATATCATATCATGACACAGCGTTCAGGAGATATCATAACACGACAACAGAGCATAGCAACGAACACTACAGAACACAACGTGCTACATAGAAGGTACCACAACATAACACAACCATGACATACCATGGCGGAACATAACATGGCAGTACCATTACAACACATGGCATGCCATAACATCACAGAACATACCAGAGCATATCACGCCAGAACAGACCAACATAGTAGACGGAACACGACATACCAGAACAGAGCATGACAGAACATGACAAAACAATGCATAGCACGAAAGAACAGAGCACACCATACCATCACAGAACAAGCCAGAGCCGAACGTCACATAATAGAGAACCACAGAACATCACAGAACAAACCATACCAGAGCACTAGAGAAGATCACTGAACAAACCAAGACCAGGTCAGACCCCCAGTTGTCCCGAGAATCCCCGAGTCGTGCCCTCGACAAACCCGAAGCAACACACCATTACACCACAGAACATTACAGAACATAATATAGCAATATCATGACAACATACATCATATGATAACATGACAAAACGTATCCAGGCATAACATTACAGAACAGAATTCGACAGACCACACCATAACATAACTTAACGGATCCAAGCATGACACGCATTGACGGAACGTACCATATCACGGCGCAGCGTTCATAACATTTCATGACACAACAAGAGAGCATGCGGACGAACACGGCAGAACAAAACATGCCACAATAAAAGGTAACATAACAAAACGCGGTCATGACAGAACCCGACGCAACATAATATGGCAGTATCACTACAACACAGATCATGGCATAACATCGCAGGACATCCCAGATCACATCATGACAGAGTCGCACAACATTGCACACATCACATGACATAACCGAACAGAACATGGCATATTACGAC